AATTCAGGAGGCAAGCCATTCCACTGGTTAATTGTTCTCACTATCAGGAAATTTCTTCTTAGTTCTATGTTGGTTCTCTTCTTGATTAGTTTCCATCCATTGTTGTCCTACTTTCAGGTCCTTTGGAAAATAGGTTGATCCCCTCTTCCTTGTGTCAGCCCCTCAAATAATGAAAGACTGCTATCATGTCACCTTAGTCTTCCTTTTCACTAAACTAGACATACCCAATTCTTGCAACCGTTCTTCATATGTTTTAGCCTCCAGCCCCCTAATCATCTTTGTTGTTCTTTTCTGCACTATTTTCAGAGTCTCAACATCTTTTAGATATTGTGGCAACCAAAAATCAATGCAATATTCCAAGCATGGTCATACCATGGCCTTATAAAGTGGTACTAACACCTCACCTGATCTTGATTATATCCTTCTCTTAATGCAGCCTAGGAGTGCATTTGCTTTTTTGGTGGTTGCTGCACACTGCTAGCTCATATTTAAGTGGTTGTCCACTAGGACTCCTAGAACCCTCTCATAGTTACTGCTATTGAGCTAGGTATCACCTATTCTGTACCGGTGCGATTGGTTTTCCTTGCCTAAGTGTAAAACCTTACTTCTCTTACAATAGAAGTTTATTTTGTTAGATAGGTCCCAGTTCTAGTCTGTCAAGATCCTTCTGGATCTTGAACCTATCTTCTGGAGGTTGGCTATTCTTGCCAGCTTGGTGTTGTCTGCAAATTTGATGTTCTCATTCTATTCCCTCATCTAAATCATATATAAAGATGTTGAAGAGTACTGGGCCTAAGGCAGAACCTCACTGCATACTTATCTCCATGTAGATGTAGTTCCATTGACGACTACACATTGAGTGCAGTTTATTAGCCAGTTACAAATCCATCTGGTGATGATGTTGTCAATTCTTCATTGTTCTATCTTATCAAGGAGTGGGTTATGGTCTACTTTATCAAATGCGTTGCTGAAGTTCAAGTATGTCTACAGCATTTTGCCAGTCTACTAGTTTAGTCATTTTTCAAAGAATGCAGTAAGATTTATTTGGCATGATCTATTTTTGACAAACTCATATTGGCTTCTGGTTATAACTTTGCTTGCTTTGTTGCTTGGTTATCTTTTCCAGGATCTTCCCAGGTATTGATATCAGGCTGATTGGTCTGTAGTTTCCTGAATCCATTCCCCCCCCTTTTTTTTTTGAGGATGGGAACCACATCAGCTCTTTTCCAGTCCTCTGGTAGTTCCCCAGTGATTCAATATCTTTGAAAGATATGGTTCAGTGGTTCTGAGATCACGTCTGCCATCTCCTTCAGAATTCTGAGATGTAATCTATTTGGTCCTAGTGATTTGAACTTGTCTAAGGTGGACAGATAGACAAGTTCAAATTATCTTTTTCTTCCCAATTTAATTTGTATTCCTGGTGTGTCTTTTATGCTTTTAGTAGATTGGGCTATTTTTTCCTTTTATGTGAAGACAGATGCAAAGAATGAATTAAGCAGTTCTACTTTCTCTGCTACCCATCACTTCCTTGCAATCTTCTCCCATTAGTGGACCAATTGTTTTCTTGACTTTTTTCTTGTTTTTACATGTCTCATTCTCTATCTCTATCTCTAATATATCAGTATTTCTGTCTGTCTGTCTGTCTGTCTCTCTCTCTCTCTCTCTCTCTCTCTCTATCTGAACTTGTCCCAACTTTATATAGTTTTGATCATATCATGATTTTGTTTTAAAATTTTCAATTGTTAATTTCTTTTCTTCACTGTTTATTTTAGCAGATTATTCTTATATATTTCTGAGATGATTTGGAGCAGTTATGCATTGATTTAAACATACAAGTAGAAAAGCAACTTAGAAATATTGCTCATGCATTGGTCTTCTTGGTAGTGAAGGGTCCACTTAGAAACTGATTAAAATTGAAATAGTGTTATCTAGGTTTAAAAGATGCATTGATTTTTAGCATGCTTTCATTTATTACAATGACTGTCTTTTTTACAGTATTATTTCTCAATTTGTAGTCTACCTGTAGTTGTTTAGATTAGAGATAAACTTTTCCCAAATGGCTTGTATGTGAATTTGTATTGTCTTCTGAATAATAATTTGTTGAGCTGTGATATTGTAAACTTGTTATACACTACTGTGTTTTTTATTACTTAGTGTTGATTGATTTCATGTCATTTTTTGATTCATGGACCAGATAGTGAAATAACAAGCTATAGTTCATGTTCAAGAAAAAATTTCAACTCAGCATAAAATTCTAGGCCCATTAAAAATAGATTATAAAAAGTGTTTAAGTTGCAGTAGTTTGCATCCATGATTGTATTTTTTAATTACATTTTTCACACATATTTAAGTAAATGAGAATATAGGCAATCAACTCCTGAAGCAATGCCAATGAACACACTTCCTCTAGGCTAATATATTGGGGTATATAAAATGTATCTAAAAATCAGCTTTTAGGTATGAATTGTGTGGATTCATGATAATTCCAGACCTCTTCATCCCTACTAAGAATGTTTTTATTACTGAGATTCAAAGATTTGCATTAGATGAGCTATGTCAAAATCTGTTGAGGCAACTTTTGCACATGTTAAAAAGGAGACATTCATCCTTTCAATAATCTTTATATTATAGTTTACTATTTAATTCATTTTAGTTTTGTTGCTTGTGCAGTCTAGTCCCAAATTAATGTTAGGCTTATGTTCTTTCTTAAAAACATTAAGAACTACTTTATTGAATAAGATCAAGAATTACTTAGTCTAATACATTTTGCGGGATTTTCCAAACTATAATGCACATTCCTGATTATTCTCAATTAGTTAGTGATCCATCAGCATATCAAAAATATCTTCTGCCTTATCTGCTTTATTCAAACTGTATAGTTCTAGAATTCAGTACAATTCAGTAAAAAACACCTGATTTGATCTAGTGGTTATGGCGCCATGCCATAACGAAAGCCAGTTTGGTGACTTTGGGCCAGTCACTGTCTCTTAGCCCATCCTACCTCACCCCACAGGTTTATTGTTCTGGAGAAAATAGGAGGGTGGAGGAATATTGATTATGTTCACCATCTGGAGTTATTTGTAAAAATAAAGATAGGATACCAACAAACAATACAACAATCTTGGCAATTTTCTGTGCAACAGGAAGCCATGGATCAATAAATAGATATTATTCCAAAATATGTATTGATCTTTACTTCCAATAAAACTATAGTATATCTCTTTTGTTCTTTTATAACATGCTACAGTAGATATTTGATTGATACCTCCTATTCATGTTCTTCCTCTTGACCTCTCAAAAATAATGAGAGGTAACAGTAGTTTCATTGTACTCAGTTTATGAAGTTAAGGCATGAAGTTCTGTTTTGTTGGGTAATTCCACTTACCATGAGAAATGTGGTTCTGAACTATAGTAGCTCCTATCTAAAGTAACCACAGTCAAGAAAAAGAATTAGTGCTGTGCTATAGATTCCTGCTCTTATTATCAAGAAGAGTGAAAAAAAGACTAAAGTCCAATTGCTTAATTTTAGGTATGAATTGATGCAGAGAGGTATGCTTGAACCTAAAGATGTTGGATTTGTTCCAGATGCCTATACTTCCAATCAGCATTTGGAGAGGGAAAACATATATTTGAAGAAAGAAATGGAGAACTATAAATTTGCAGCTAGGTATGTTCTTTTTATTTTTTACTGGGTTACATTTTTTGGAGATTTGGATGAAAAAAGATTGTTGACATCAGATTGTAGAAGGTGATCAGTTTTGAATGGCAGTGTTGATGTTTGCAAGTCTGGTAAAAGATGGGTCAAATAGCTATTAATCCAAGTTAATGTATTTCTGCTATTTATATGCTGCTCAATTAAAAAAGGTGTTGAGTGTTTTACAATAATATAAAAGTGAACTAGATAGAATTAAAAGAAAAAATAAACCTCAACCTCAATTTGCCTACTGTAGGGAAGGGACATGCAATATAATGACCTTTCCAAGGATTTCTGGAACATCCAGGTCTCTTAGCAGCTTTCCTGAATGTTGGAAGGATTAGTGATGGCCTGACCCCAGGTGGAGCATTATTCTAAAGCAGAGAAGCTACTGTGAAAAGCCATACCGTATGCTCTTTTTCTTCACAGTAACAGCCCCCAAGGTGAACCTCAAAGAGTATCTTCCCTACTCCTTTTTATTGGTTGACCAGAAGCCACTGGAAGACACTTGTAATATTTATTACACTATATACCCTTTATCTATCAGTATTGTTGAAATGAAGATAAAATATCTGTATGCTGAACTCTGTTGAAAAAGTGAAAAATTTCAAAGTGGTGGTGTTGTTGTTTTACCTACTCTATGTTCTTTAATGTTCCTTGATCCTACATTGTTTAGGGTTATCTTGAACTTAAAAGTAATGGTAGGATACAGATATATTGCATTACTGGATATAAAAAGACATTGGTGTACTTTAATTCATACTGCGTTGATTTTAATGGAAATGCTTAAATTTTTTTTCTAAATTTTAAATTCTGTTAGTATTTGAAATGAAAATGTACATCTTCTATTTATATATTACTATATGATTATAAAAACCTAATAGGATTATTGTCAATCTACAGAAAAATAACCCTCTATAAAATATTAAACATTCATTTTATATCAGAGGCAAAATCCACAACTGCAGATAAAGATAGTAGGTAAAGATGATAGGAAGTAGAGATGCATTTATTTTGCACCTGTTGTTTTCATTCTTGGTAGGAAAAACATCTTGCCTAGAAGTATGCTAGCTGCAATAGTTTTCTGAATCTGATGGTTACCAAAATCCCAGTATCCCTGAAAGAAGCTCTTAACTTAGGACACTGATTTTAAGAGCTGTGGTGGTGCAGTGGTTAGAATGCAGTATTGCAGGCTAACTCTGCCCACAGTTGGGAGTTTGATCCTGACCAGCTCAAGGTTGATTCAGCCTTCCGTCCTTCCGAGGTTGGTAAAATCAGGACCCAGATTGTTGGGGGCAATATACTGACATTTGTAAACTGTTTAGAGAGTTCTGTAAAGGACTATGGAGTGGTATATAAGTCTAAGTGGCGGAATCAGAGTCCAGTCATTGCAGGGTGCAGAAATGATCTTACTGCCTTGGCAGTGTTTATTCTCTTATACAGTTTTCCAAGCAGCATAAAGTAACCTAACAACAGCATAGCAACGCCATTTTTATTGGTAGATTCTCCTTGTCAATCCTTAAGAATATCTCAGCCAGGGGCACCAACCAGGGGCAGTTTTCTGCTACATCCTGTTGATGTGAACAAGGTGAGATCATGTGAACCAGGTGAAATCATGTACCAGCCTGGGATATTTCCCTACATCACCATGGTGATATGAACGGGGTGAGATCATGCATTTGAACCGAGGCAGTTTGCTGCTCACGAACTTTACATGACCTCAATCCCTACATCTCATTCTTTTTTGTTTTGTTAGACGAAACATCGTCGTAAGAGGGGTTAGTAAAAGGATCATAATCAGGAGAGGAACATCCTTGCAGTTGTTTATATAGGGCAAAAACTTGACCCTGAGCAATGTGGGAGAGGGTTTGGGGCAAAAAGCTTTGATGCATATATTGCAAAAGGAAGGGATATACTGAACAAAGCAGCACCCACCAATCAAAATAGCACAAGTAATAACTGAATAACGCAGGATATTTCCCAGTAATCCTGTGGGCAACCAAGCCCAAAGGCTTTCCCACCAAGATCTTAAAGTATCAATTTTCAAATCAGAGGCCAAATTGTGTAAAATATTGATCTGGTGCTGGATGGTTCGTGACTCATCTGAAATGTTGAAACAACACATTCATTCAAAACTTTCACAACCCAAATGCTGGCGCAGAAGCAAATAATCGATAGCAGCGCGATTTTGCAAGATAGCCTTTCTCAAATCTTGCAGCTCATGGTTGATTGCTGAGATAGCTGAAGAAGTAGCATTAATTGTTTTTGCTATATGACACGCAATAGCGTTAATGTTGAGGTGAGCATGAACAGCAAGTCCTGGCACACCCACTAGAGACACAGCCAGCACTACATATTCTGCTTTATTAAATAAAGCTGTCTCAGAGTCACAGGTGCTATCTAGAGTGACCCCACGCCAAGAACGGTTTGAGTGAAACTGTTGTTTGGAAAACAAAACAGGAATCAGCTGGCTGAGGCAGCACTGCGCTTCACTAATTTTAGCAGGAATATAATTAAAAGTTTCTTGACCACATGTAAAAAACCATCCTTGCGGTAGCCAAACATGGGCAAAATTAAAGGAAGTCTCTTCAAAAGCTGTGCAGTTTAAAGTAGATGAGCTAATGCAATGACAGTGAGGGTTTTTTCTTGAAGATGTACAATTAACTACTTTAGCACATGTTACATTTGCAGGGATTGCTACCACCGGGGTGTGCAAAGCAATAGCGTCGGGGTAGATAATAAGCAGTGACCCCCCCCATCTAGATATAGCCCCATAGTTAAAGTTCTTATTTAATAAAATTCTGCTCAAGCCAGTGAAGTTTTGAATTACTGCAGAAGGGATACAAACAGGGACTAAACATGTAGAAAGCAAATTTTCCATGTCATAGGCTTCAGATAAGCAAAAGACATCATTTTGTGTGATGTTAGCTAGCTGCACCCATAGGTTTTGCTTTATTCGTTGTTCGAGCGATTGTTTGGGTGGGATGGCAGCTGCTGTTGCCAAAGGGCAGCTGTTAACAATCAAACACAAACAAATGATGGCTAAGGAATTTGCAGTTAAAACCGCAAAAATGTCAGTGCACAGGTTCTTGGGGTTTGCTCTACTTGCTGCTGCTGCAGCACTGCCTGCGCTTTGGCGGTCAAGTTCTTCACATCTCCCCACGTCACTGGCTGACTGGCATGACGGGATTGGATTGGTTGCTGTGCCGTCTGTAGAGTCACCCTTGCCATTTCTGGGACCGGATCCAGGGACTGGTGCCACGACATCCTTGGCTGGGCGGACGCAACACGCTGGAATCCACAAAGGTCCTGTAGGAGCAAGCACAGCAGCATAGCCTCGCCCCCAAGTAATCAGAGGGACCAGTCCCAACCATGTTTTGTCTGGTAAAGCCCGATAATATACCAGAGGCGGAGGCAAGCTTATTTTCTGTTGAAAGTGTCTCTGATAAGTGGTGGAATTTTGAATGGAAACATTCAATTGGTTTAATGTAAATAATACTTTTTAAATCTGTTGTGTTACCCACAACAAATTGGGTATCCTAGAGCCCTCCTTTTTTATTTGTTTGTGGAGGCAGTCCTTAAAGGACCAATTAGCACGTTCCACAATGGCTTGACCCGTGGAATTATAGGGGAGACCATGAGTAAGAACAATATTCCAGGTTGTACAAAATTTCAAAAAGGCCAATGAAGAATAGGCTGGCCCGTTATCAGTTTTTAAAGAAGAGGGCTTATCCAAGGCTGTAATGGCCGAAAAAAGATGAGAAATAACATGATTAGCTGTTTCCCCTCGTTGAGGTGTGGCCTAAATTGCTCCTGAATAGGTATCAATAGATAAATTAATATACTTCCAAGGAGCCAAAGAGGGAACATGAGTAACATCCATTTGCCATAGTTGATTAGAGATGAAACCATGGGGATTAACTCCCGTGTCTCCCGAAGGAGATGCCCCAGAACATTGGGGACAGGATGAAACAATCTGCTTGGCTTGATCAAGTGGAATATGGCAAGCTTGTGCCAGCCCCCTAGCATTTTGATGAAAAAAAGAGTGACTGAAAAAAGGGTCAGAAAATAGAGTGGGGAAAACATGAACTGCAGCGTCAGCATGACTATTGCCTTCAGAAAGAGGCCCAGGAAGGGAGGAGTGACTGCGTATGTGAGAAACAAAGTATAAATGCTTTCGGTCTTGTAGCAGCTGCTGTAAAGTTAAAAACAAAGCCATAAGATTGGGGTCAATCCTGGGCGTGATATAAGCACCTGGAAGATTAAAAATAAGTTGGCACACATAATGAGAGTCAGAGATTAAATTAAAAGGCCGTTGAGAAAAGGTGTGGAAAGCTAGAATAGCAGCAGATAATTCTGAGCATTGCGGTGAAGATTGCACTGCAGTATAGGACACTTTCCAGGTATCATCATGAGAATCCTTATAAGCAATTGCTCCTCTTGTTCGCCCTCCATCAGAAAAAACAGTAGGAGCTTGTGACAATGGAGAAGGAGAAAGCAGTGGGCGGACAGGAAAGGAAGAAGTCATTAAACAAGCAAGCCGAGGATCCATAGTCAGTTAAAGCACACTGAAGAGATAAGTTATTCTGAAAATAAAATTGAAAATCAGATTTAGGGATAGGAAAAACAATATTCATTAAATCAGTCCCATTTCTACGACAAGCTCGAGTGCGTCCTAAGGTTATTATTTCAGCAATAGCCTGGATAAATGATAAAACATTTTGGGATGGAGTATTGGTAAATAAAGCCATTCAATACAATATACTTTTTGCGCTTCTAACACAGCTAATACTCCTGTAGGTAGCTTACTAGTAGGAAATATCAAAAGGGTTAACTGACAATTTTTATGTGGAATTCGGTCCACAAATTGAGTACTCAAAATGCCATTAATTTGCTCCATCGTGGCAAATGCTGCAGGTGGAACTAAAATGAGATTTCCAGGTTGTTTTCTTTTGGTTAATAAATCAAATAAT